GATAAGATGACCGAAGTAGAAATTCGGGCGAGAAGATCGGTACACGGCAAAAACTCCACTCAATGCTACGAGGTTGGTGGATCCCCCTCGCTTAGTGACAAAATTCTTGAAGACTTCCTAGTGGTCGGTGGTTATGAAGGGAATCGTACTAGACAAAATATGGAAGGTTATAATATTAAAGAAAAACAGCAATAACTCGTTTTCAGGTGAAAATCGGCGATTTCGGGCTGTCACGATCGGGAACATCATATCGTATGAAAGCTGCAAAGAAAATGCCGATTAAATGGATGGCTCCAGAAACCATGACTAACTTCACGTTCACTCAGAAGACAGACGTCTATAGTTACGGGGTAACTAAATCCCAATTCTATAAAGTTCCAATCTTCGAAAAGCTTGTGTAATGGGCATTTAGGTCCTCATATATGAAATATTTTCTGGTGTCGAGCCGTACGAAGGTGTGACAAATACGCAAACAAAGAAAATGGTAGGGATCCTCAGGCTACCGGTTGAAGAGTGTTAAGAGCTTCAATATTTTTCAGATAATGAACGGGCAAGTAAACCAATTCCCTGATGGTACACCATCAATGCTAGTCGAATTTGTGCGAGAAAAGATATGGGATCCAGATCCGGATACGAGGCTCAATATGACTGCTGTATGTCCCATTACCTTCTTTTTGCTACAGTTTCTCGGAAACTCGATGTCGGTTGGGAGATAATTATTTCGGCAGCGCGTTTACTGAGGCACGTGTTTCTTGTCTGGTTGACTTGGCAGCACCTCCGACTTGATTCACTAGGCCCTCGTACGAGTTACACAAAAGGAGAGGCCTCACTTGGGCGGCGTTCAAAGTTCGCGATGACGCGCGCAGACGCGCTGTAATGCGCGTCGACGAGCTACAATTGCAGAAGCGCTCCAAACCTACACACTCGAACGCAGCCGTCGGCGGGAATCGATGAGCACCGGCCGCTTGTATCTCGAGAGAGTATGAGAGAACAGGAAGGTACATGTTGCCTAGTCAGGCAGACGGGTATGGATCGACACTGACCGTCTACGATTGCCTTTGCGTCTAGCTCATGGGTGCTGTTACAATCGTTTGACGCGTGTCATCGCGGATCTCCCAGCGGACGACAGATAATCTTAGGGCTTACGTGGACAAACTTCTAGCCATCATTTCCATGCAGGAGGCG